ATATATATATATATATAAACTCAAAGAATGGCAAGCCGCGGACATTCCAAGGAAACAACTAAAATATCCACGTAGACAGCCATAGCTGTCTGCATGACTGAAACCGCCTCCTTTTGGCGACTCCGTGTGTTTGTGTTGTTTCTGCAACCAAGTATTGTTCATATTTACACTTGTATACACCACGCTGATGTATTGTTAGTTTTTTATTGTCGTGATTTAGATCAAACACACTCCTAGACTATCGTGCAATCATTGTAATAGTTGATTTTCATTTTTCTGCTTTGGTGTCTTTTTTATACAAAATATGAAAAAAATGTATATAGGTTTTTAATTGAAATTCATGAAAGCTAAAATATGCACCTATTTTATTTTTCATATGACGTTTCTATAACTTACGGCCGCCCTGATCATTATTGTAAATACGGCATGTATTTTTTTTCTAACAAATTATGATACTTCTCTCAATCCTGCATTTATCTAGGTATCACTTGATAACTTTTTTCTCGACGTTTCACTCTATAAAAAATATTACAACCAAGTTGATTGCATCTGAAATTCAATATCTAGGTAAGTACTTGATAGGTTACTACAATGTGAAAAACCGAAATAAAAGCATTTAATAAGTATACAAAAATCAATTGTACTAGGATAAATGTCAAAATTTTAATAAACTCTGAATTTTCGAGAAAGTCCTAACTCGTTTATTAGACAACATATTATTACCAAGTTAATCAAGTTATCATTTCCTTCAATTTTTATTGTCCATTGCATCAGAGATTCTACCTAAAATTTTGGACATTAATACTTTTTTCTGAATGAAGAAACACAACACGAAAAAATAATTTATTAATTAATTCGAGTTTGAAGATATATCGAGTAACTTGCTATGCATTGAGAAAAGTAGAATGGAAAGAGGCATCTGAATTTGCTATAAAAAATTGATGAAGATGGACGGTAATAAGTAAACGAAACATTTTTAGACATTTTTTGTCTAATTTAACCAACATCAAAAAAACTTACGTTTTAAAATGCAATGCTATGTTGAGAAATCCAGACAACTGAGAGAAAGAATTGGAAAAAAAAAGAAAGTTGATATTCTAATTTAACCAACATGGGCGGAAGGACTTCGGTCGATAGCCAGTTGAACAAAATTGTAATTTTGTTCAATAAATTACAATTATTATCATTATTAACCAACATCGAATCGTCTATTGTTACTGATACAGCAATAGTGTGCAATTAAATATTCGCCACCTGGTATACACACATACTTTTTTGATGTAAGAAGTTATTACGAATTATTTTTCAAATCATGTCAAATTTCCAAATGATTGTTGAATCTATTTTTTTCGTCAAGGTGTATGAATATTTTTCAATACTTTTACAGATGAACGACTTAGAGAAAAAATTCCAGAGCGAGTGTAAAGAAAATTGTTACATTATTGCTTGTCGTTTTCCATTACCAAATTGGACCCCCATCAGGACCTTAGGACATGGAATTGACAAAGTATGGATCTATGACCGTAAAAAGTTTTGACAATTCATTGGGAATTAGAGAATTATTCCTATCAGATTTTGTTAAATATATTTTCAATGATTTACAAAATTAGTTTGTGGAAATAGATGAACTGAACTTTTTCAATATATCACGGAAATGCATTGAATGTTTTTTCATCATCCTTATATGCATATACAAAGCGTTTTGTAGATTTAACTAAGAAGTTGGACATTATTGAAAACATTTTCTCAACACTAGAACAAAATTACGGTCTCTCGACGCGCGTTTCGCTAACTAAGTTAGCGCCCTCAAGAGATCATTATGACTAAATTTCACTTTTATGTTAGTGTTTTTATATATGCTAGTGGCCTAACTATTACCTGTTACTAGTACTTAAATATTACCAATTAGTGTTACCTAACTACTATATGTTATTGTTTCTATGCTAGACTACCTTTTTTATTTATTTAAATTAAAGTCATAATGATTTCCTGAGGACGCTAACTTGGTTAGGGAGATGCACATCGAGAGACCGTAATTTTGTTCTAGTGTTGGGAAAGTGTTTTCAATAGATTCATTTTACGCCAGAGGTTTCAGTATGAAATATGAAAAAGAAATTAGATAATTAATTATAGCTATAGGTCTAAATTTTTGTTGCAGTGTTTGAAGTACTTTCCCCGAAAAACATTTATTATTGACCATTTTCTCATCCATTCATATTTATTAGAATCGAGTTCTGTGAATAAGTCTCACACTTATCATTCAAGTATTTTATCGATGGGCTCAAAAGTAGAACTCTAAACACTCTTACTTATACTTCAGATATCATTTCGGCACAATACAATTATTGTACTGTTTCAACATACAGTAAGTGTACTTGCCCAATTACTTTATTGCAACAACATGTAAACCTCATGTCTTCAATACAAGTGAATTAAAATAATATGAAAATTTTCATTATTTGATATTTTGAAGCGAGTTATTTATTCTTTTACTATTCAAACTAATGTTCAAATGCAGTGTGGAGAGAAACACCAAAAATTGATTGGTTATACCTAATTCGAGAATCGCAGACATATACAAACATTTTATTTTAAGGAGCATAATGGATTTTTACGTCTTCAGGATATACGTAGATGAGAGGGTTATATATAAAATATTGATAGACTGAATGAAATATATTTTCAATAAAACAGATATAATCTTGCATTGATATTGCCTTTGGAAATTATTCAAATTCAAATATTATTTCAACTAGAGGAAGGATGTTTTACTGGCAAATGACTTCATCAGAACTATTACAAATTTTTGATTTGAAAGATCTTCAATTATTTCAATTACTTTTATTTGTATATAATATTTGTGCATCACTCTATGTTGAACAATTCCATGACTTTACAGATTATTAGAATCGGTGGAGAAACAATCTACGGATTTCTTAAAATGACTCAGTATTTATAAAAGTAAACAACTTCCTTTCAATTGAATTGAAAAACAGTTCATTTATGGTTCTACCATTCTGCAACTCCTTGATTAAATCAAACTGGAGAGTCATGACTATAATGTTTTTAACATTAGATGTTCATTCAGTAATTTCTTTAATGAAGTATTATATTTTACGTCATAGTCAATGTTTTAATATCAAACAGAAGAAGATGTGTTTATTACAGATGAAAAATCTGAAAGTTTAATGAGGTACCAATTTAATATGAAATTACAATCAATTAATACAGTCTGAGGGTTACAAATTTTAGTGTACATTATGAGCTTACATTAAAAATTGACATATTGCATATGCTAAAAACGTTAATAAAAACACTGTTTAAACGTTAGATATTAAATAATATATACTATACATAAAAAAATTATTCTCATCATTGTTTCAACATAATCATTTTACACTATATGCATCACTGTAAATTTACAAAAAAATATTAGTATGTACTTTGATAGGGAAGCACAAATTAACAATTCCACATTTACATCAAAATTCCTTTCATTTACTAACATCTAATTTGGCGCTAAAAACATGGCTTGCAATATCCATGTATAATTTTTTGGCTCACTTTCATCATCAGTACAAGTCACTCTCAACAGCCATGTTTTTTGGAATGCTCTCATTTCAAGGCTAAATGCCTTCCTAATTCATTACAAAATCAACACACAAAAACAATAAAAAGAAAAACAAACATGTTAAAAAGTTTCTTAAAAATATTCAAACTTAGAAATAAAAATATACACTAAAAAATTATAAAAAAAAATCACAGGTTAACACATTAACTCAAAGTTAACGCTCAATGAATATCAAATATTGGCATTATGTATTTTCTGTTGAACCATATCTAACAATATATCAGAGTACTGTTCCATTATTGATATAACAGAGTTAGGTCCACTCGGACCTTTAGATACCAAATCATTTAGTTTCTTGACAGTATCTGTTTGATTAACATCAATGCTTCCATTATTTTGTTTCAATTCCTTAAATATACAGTCATGGAGAATTTTATGGGTACGAATCATCGACATCTTCACCCTGTCGAGCCTTTCAATTTGAGATTCACTGCTGTCTTCACCTTCATTTAACCTGTCATAAAGTTTCACTACATTTTCTGCAGTATTTGTAAGCTGGTCCACCAGATCATCGCAGAGCTGATTTGATACTAAAATGAGGAGACTACGATAAGAAAATTGGAACTGACAATATGAAAATAAGATGATAATTTAATTATAACACCTTGCAACGATGAACATGAATAGAACACAAAAAGGCAACATAAAAACAATTATTAAAATCTAACGAAATAAAAGAATATTGACTGAATTTCAAGTTGAAATTATTTGTTTTGGTTTATAAATATAAATACATGGAAACCATTTTCTTGAATATGATTATAATGAATAATAAATCAGTAATTTAATTCTTTCAGTCCCGATAAATTAAAGAAATCATAAATGCAGATTTTTGGACAGTAAAACAAATTTCGAAAAAAGTAAACTTTCTGTGCCGACAAAATAAAATCGTAGTTCTTAACAATGTGTCAATGAACTACTACCTGTGTTTTGTAGGCTGTTTAGCTTGGTTCGCGGTGGGGCAGGCCCACGAGTACGTGCTCTGCTACCAGGGCGTGAATTTCCTAGTGAAGAATAATTCCCTCCAAGGTTTGTTTAAGAGTTGGAGTCGTTTGATCACCCTCCATCTCTGTAAACTCGGCTCAAAAGCTGAAGAAAAGAGGAGTTCTTTCTCGTGATTCATTCATGATAGGGAGGATAGTAGGGGTCTCTTAGTCGACGTCCACCTCCTCTGTAGACACAGGGTATTTGTAAGACCTGTTCAGGGGAACACCCCTTAGGATGAGGCGACATTTAGGAGGACTCATGTCTCCTTGGGTGAAAGGCGAGTGTATTCTAACACTTCCCACTGCAGGGCGTGTGAACACATTAGAGAGAGTAGGCTTTCTAATTTATCGTTTTGTCTAAGGTGTTTTCTGGCGTTTAATCGTATTCGAGCAGGTTTGGCACATTTGATTCCACCAAGGGCAGCCACGGACTGTGGCTGCTCATCATTTTGAGGTTCAACTCAGTACACCTCGAACTTCACTTTTTGGGGAACTCTTTCATCTGGAGAACTGCATTTATGTGGAATAAACTTCCTGGGAACGTTTTTTCAAATGGATTTAATCTCCAGCAATTCAAATCCAATGTAAATCGATACTTTCGGACCGGGACCCTGAGCGCCTTAAGGATTTTCCAATAGTGCTTGTGTTTTGTCCTTAAGAAAAACTGACGTAAAATAACGTCAAATTCCGTTTCAAAACAAACCTCACGCTAGTTTTGAATCATCATGAATACGTTTCAAATCATAGATGATGTGACGTCATCGTTTCAACGCCAGAATGAATATATTTGAATTACAGACAAATACGTTTTCAATACATGAGCGCTAGAAAACGCCTCTACTTGTGAACTGTATAACTTATCCATCCACCGTGTTAGGAATTACACGTTAAAAGGTAAGACCTCGTTAGTCCTTAGCTCGCACAAGTTTCTCAATTTCTGAGAGTTGTCGTTAGTATGCGGGCGACAGCTGATTAACGAAAAAAACAGATTTTGAACAGATTTTTTTTCAAACAGATTTTTTTTCAAACAGATTTATTCCTATTCTACGGAAGATACTGCAGCCTTGTGATCTTATTGTTCCTTTCATATTGTCACAATCTTGTTTCCTGTACTAGTCTGTAAAGATCCTGTAATTGATGTTTGTCATATTTTCCTAAAAATGATTTGGATGACTTGTCACTCATGATCCAGTGTCTCTCACACACATAAAACATGACGAGCGGTTTCTGTTCCTTTGTTATTTTGCCTAGAGCGTTATACAGCTATTTTGTTCTGATCTCTAAATAGACAATGTCAAGTTGATAGCTTCGTAATTTTTCTGAGTTTATCACTACTGTGTCCAACTTCTGGCAGACTTCTGGTGTCCAGTTTTGAGAATATCTACAGGATATAGCTTTACATTCAGTGATATCATGGATTAAAGAAAAAGCTGTAAAACGATGTATCCTAAAATATTTGAGGGTCCTTCAGTTTGTAGAGAGTGTAAGAAAAAATCAATAGGATATTTCTTTCAACATGTCATCCATTTGGAATACTGCAATCGATAGTCACAGATTTCCAAAGGGTTCTATATGAAGGCTCAGTGAGTAAACGTCAATTTTATGATATACATCTCACATCTCAGTTTTTATCTATAACTTTTTCCCTGTCCCAAAGATCGTCTACAAGTCACCATTGATGCATCTTTGGACACCATTGTCACCAGTTCTGTTTTACCTCAAGATTCATACTGGCATTATTAAGCTCTCTCAGGAATACACATCGGAATTCTTTTTCTATTATGAATCAACGACTCTTGACAATGATTTGTTTTGTGTTGAGTTGGACAGAGCAAAATATGTTTTGGAATAATCACATAACAGTAAGATTATGTGAGAAGTACGTGGTAAACTAAAATGGCCCGTCTCTTTAAGGTTGAACACAGTTCATCTTGGATTAAACTTTTTAGGAACGTTTTCTTATGGAAAAAATCAGAGACCATTTTCCCAAACATGTATATCTTCATTGATTTAAAATTCAACGTAAATCAATATTTTGGTACATACACTGCCTACATTTCCTACACTATTACGCATCTTCATTAAAAATAGTGAATTATATACCTAGGGTGAGAAGTGAGCTATTATTTACCGATCATTTTTATATCCTAATGCGCGTAGCGCCGAGGATATAAAAATGCTCGGTAATGTGTCAAATTTTGATATGAATCTAGGAAATATCTCATTGCATTTTTGACATATTTCAATGTTCCACTTTTCTCATCACTTCTTTATGTTCAGAACTTAGAATTTCTCAATTCTGCATTATAGTGAGAAAAAAATTTCCTTGGTTATATGATAACCCAAGGCAGCTATGAATTGTTGCATGTCAAATTGAAACGGTACAGTTTCCATGTTGAATACGCGATGTCGATGATAAGCGCGNGGAGTAAATAATAGCAATTTCTCAGGTTAGTAGTGAAAAAAAAAACACTTTATACATATAGTCGAAGCAACTCTTCAAACACTTCTGATACAATATTTCCATCCCAACCATTGGGAAGGACACAGGTGATAAATCAAGGTAAATGAGGGTAATGACGATCAATTAGATGTTTGTTAACTTTCAATTATTAATAATTGAGGTCTAGGAATTCTAAATAATGAATAATGAAAATTTCTAAAGCAGTCACGATGTTTTGAAGAATCATCGGTATATACGAAAGTCACAAGTATAACAAACACATGAAATTGTGAAATTTCAACAACTCAAGAAAACAAAAAATAGTATAGCAGTAAATTCAAGTGATACTGGACGACTGACTTATTATCCTCTTTGTATTATTCCAATAAATGATGAAAACATTATTTTTTATTTTCAATAAATTGATGAATGTAGCCGTTACTACGTGTTGTGATAAAACTGCCGTAACGTTAGTTACAAATAAAAGTGACAAAAAACATAGAAAGTTTCATTTCTCATTTTTCATGACGATCATAATTTTTAAAAATATAATTTGTTGCCTCCACCAAGTTATAGCCTTTGATGAACTAGTAACCATTTTGATAAAATAGATTTGAAAAAACATGCTTTGGAATATGTATGCCAACTTACTTTCTACAGATGAGAAGCTTTCATTAGAGTCGAAATCCTCATTAGTTAGAGTGTCATCAAAATGAATAGTATGTCTTTTAGCTACAAAAAAACAAGTGCAAGTTACAGTAAGCAAACCAGTATTCATTGAGATTAGAAGCTGTGATCGTGAATAAAAAAAAATATCAACAAATCTCACCTCGAGATTTTTCTTTGTTGTTGAGATGTCTTCTTGGCGTTGCTAAAGGAGTACTTTTGTCAAACGTTAATTGTCTATTTCTAGGAGGAGCAGTGGGAGACTCTTCGTCTGAAGTTGATATGTTGTCTACTGTTCCAACTGTATTCAAATTACCTTGAGAAAATTTTTCATAAATGAATTGAATTGTACAAGATATTTGAAAAAATCAGATTATAAATTCTAATATCAATTTATGTATTCTTAGTTTTCATAAACATAATAATTTATTGTGGGATTTTCGTATAAACAGTTTATGAAACTGAAATACATGATTCAATGCACAATATTTTCATTGAATATTACTAGAGTTTATCCCAACACCAAACCGTTATTTTAACAGGTCTACACATGTTCCAATCATCAAGTGATCATCTTCAAGAGGAAGATCAAACTGATCTTGGTGATCGAAACACGTGTCGAGGTGTTAAAATAACGGTTTGGTGTTGAGAAAAAACTCCAGTAGTAATCATTACTATACCAAAGATTCCAAACAGTGCATCACAATATCTTCTTTATTCATATGTTCTAAAATAGAAGCTATTGTCGAGCCTTTAGGTTCTTTAATAAGAGAACACTCAACCAAATAACAACTTCATAATTGGTTCACATCTTGTCACATTCCTGACCAAATCAGAAAAGCTCCCATATTATTTTTTAGAAATATATCTGAATAACCAATCACAATAACTGTCTCATATTTGGGCAGAGGCTTCTACAGATCTTTACAAAACAACAAATGGTTATAAATGCTCTCGTTTTNCCTTTATTAATTTTTATATTCGAACTTATAAATGTATAAAGATTTAATTTAATATAGTATAAACATGTGGGGTTTTATCGTGAACAAAATTATACAATATAAAATTAAAAATCAATCAAACATGAATACATTGAATCGTTTCATATTATCATGCATATAATAATCGGTGATGACGAGGAAAAGCATATTCACAGAATATGCTGGATAACAAAACGAAAAATAAAAAGTTGTCAGGTCCAGATTACATTCCAATGTTCGTCCTATTACAGTCCCATATGGCTTTTCTAAATAATTTGAATATGCCTTTCTGATAGATGGGAGTAATAAATCAAATAATCACACATGTGCAGAATTAATTTGTATCATTGCAAAAGATGAAAAATAATAGTACTTTCGAATTTAACTCTGAATACAACAATGGGTGTATCACATGGCTCCATATTCAGTCCCATTTTGTTTATTTTTGTATGTAAATAGCATTGATTCTATAATTGAAGATAGTAGTTACACACTCTACACTGATGATTTTGCATTGTCTCTGCATCTGATACTACAATTTTAGAAAATAAATGTTTAAGAGCAATAAATCAGGTATCCAGCTTTTTAATGGACACGATTTATTTTTCAACACAGATAAAACACTGGTTATACAAATTCACAATCGCTACAAAAAATAACAAATCTTCAAAAAGTGATGATAGTAGTATTAAGTTTTTATGTATTTATTTAGATGAATTCCTGAGTTGGAATAGTCATTGCCAACATCTGATATCTAAACTCAATATTTTAAAGTTTCTTTTTAATGATTTAAGATCGGTATTGATTAGAGTTCAGTTATTTGGTATCTATTATGATACCACTAGAATTAGGAATTAAATATATTTGATTGACAATTTGTCATGACATTAAATTGGACAGTGACTCACCGACTTTTAAATGTGATTAACTTTTGAACAAGTGATGAATTTCCTGAATTCTCAATTGAAAGATAATCCGTGTTAAATTTAATTCAATCAGGTCGTTAAGTACCTGCTCTTATACTTGAATATAATTTTGTCATTATTTCACTTGTTTATTATAGCTTACTAAAGCTGTCGCGATTTGTAAAAAGGTGCGAATCTTCTTTGAATCACTCATTTCCGCCAGATTGACACTCGTTATCGACTATAGCTCATTCACTCTCTTCTCGTCGTTTCAGTTACATCCATAGAAACTATTGTAAAATGAAATTCGTTTGTGCAAATATCCGACATATCGATCAAAAATCAAGTTTTGGATTATTTCTGAAACTTACTTGTAGAGTATGAATGTTTTTTACGACTCTGCAATGTTTTGTTGTTGACCTTATTGTACGAACTTATAGTTGGCCTCATCAACCTCGAAACCTTCTTTTCTTGAGTTTCTGGATCAGAATCGGAGTGATTTAGAACCCCGCTGGATCTACTCCTTGTGATTGAATTGTTTTTGACATATCTGGAGTTATTTCGAGACACATTATTAGAATTCTTCTTGCCTGAAACTGTTGGAAATGCGAAATATCAGAGAATAAGTAAATTAAAGCCATTTAGAGAGTTTGGAAAAGATCCGACTCAATATAAAAAATGAAAGGAATTGCAAATGAATTAAAAGCAAGTAGGTGAAGTCAATGATATTATTTTGCAAAGTGAAGAAATTTAGTGAACATACACCAATACATGCATTCCCTAAAATGCAAAGGTAAGCCAAACTTACCTTGTTCAATTTTCCTCTTTGGCACAAGAGGCATACTTAAATCGCTCAAGCTGCACGATCTACGCAAACTGCTATCTGGGGAGCTTTCATCCACATAGACTGAAAAAACATGCAAAAAATAATATAAACTATAACACTGAGCTACACAATGGATAATACTTTCCAAGTTGAGAGAATTTAAAGTGTAGCTCAGTTTTCAAGTAACATGCTTGGAAAAGGCTCAGGATGAAAAAAAAAAAAAAGGAAAACAGTGTATAAACATCGATAGGATAATAATCCTCTTCAGGCAGCCTTTTTACAGCCTTTCTTGTCAAGACAATTCATGCTGACACATATTCTATTCACCTTCATAGTTTGTATCACTATCCGCTGACTTAGTATCTTCAGTAGTTTTACCATCCATGAGATTTTTGTTGTCAACTTTTGTATCGTAGTTGAGTCGTCTTTCAACAAAACAAGGCAAACTCAGGTTTCGTCTCCTAAACCTGATTGGAGTGGCCTGTAATTTTGTAAGATCATTGTAATAGCTTTGGGAGTTCGTCATAGATTCATACATACTGGAAAGAGCCCTTACTTTGCCACAAGACATATTCTGCCGGAATATATCTACTAAATTGTTGATTTTATGAAGTTTCTTCTGAATCTCATTCAAAATCTTGATGTTTTCTAAAGCAACCGCAATTTTGCCTTTGTGACAGGCAGCATTCGTTTTTTTTAGAACATTTTCCAATTGGAATGCAGTATTTTTAGACATACCACTAGTTTTAGACCAAACATTAACTTCTAAACTGTCGAATAATTTACTTTCGCAATCCTGATTGTTGAGGTTCACTTCTAAAGAATCGTAATCCATTTTTGAATTCGATATTTTTTTGTCAAGGCTATCATACAGTTCACTAAAGATATTCTGATCTTTGTTGTTGCCTGTCTCCACTTCCTTATCAATAATTTTCTCTTTGAAGTTCAGTTCAATGGTATTTTCATCAGTAACAATATCTTGGTTGGTTAAATTGTTCAGAACGTCTTTGGTTTTATTGCATTTACTCGGATTGCTGTAAAAGTCCTCTTTTCTGATATATTCGTAACTGGTTTTTGTTTTTTTAATTTTGGAACTGTGTCTTCTGATAGCTTTTGGAGGTTTATGGCATACTTTTTCGCTTGTTAATAAACTTTTTGTGAACAAATGCCTATCTAAACTGGACGTTTCTTGAACTTGATTTTTGTTAGTATTTTTCTCAAAATTGATAGTTGACAAGGTGAAAGAATTATTTCCATTTTTATGATCCTTAGAGGCTGCTTCAAATATATCCAAGTTGAACTCGGGTTTGTTGTTGAGTATGTTACAAAATTTTGCTTTATATTGTTTGTTTTTACTGGCAAGTGATGGTATGTACATCTCGGAATCACTTTTCTTTTTCATAGGAACATTTTCTTTACTTTTTGAGCTCTTGGTAGATTTATGGCTTGTCTCTACAAAAAAAGTGATGGGTTTCTTTTGTTCAAACTTGAGCAACTTTTTTTGGAACTCTTCACTCCCCCTTTGAGCTTTTTTTGTTACGATTTCTTGTGGAGTTTCAAAGTCAGTTTGGGTTTGACAAGTTTTAACAGCTTTAATGATTCGAGAAGGCTGGTGAGAACACATAACTTCGGTTGTAGGATATTCATACTTGAAGGACGAATGATCAAAACCATAAATATGATTTTTTGGCAAACTACTGTTCATTTCAACGTCGAATGGACTGGACATATTTTTTGGCAAACTTTGGGAGTGTGACATACATGTTTGATGTTTTTTATGTGACTCGAAGAGTATTTCGAGAGGAGCCGATTTACAATCTGAATCGTTTGATACAACACTTTCCAAGCTGGTGCAGTAGCTTTTGGCTTTACCTGCACATAAATCGTATTCTAAAAGGTTATCATCGGACAGAATACTATCTTGAGAGTTTTTAATGCTCTGATTGAGATAGAAACTCTCACTTTTCGGTATTTCTTCAAAAATCTCTTCTTGGTATTTATATATTTCATTATTTGATACACAGCGTCTAGGAGGAATAATTTTTTTATTACCCGATAAAAAGCTGTAATCTTCTAATGAATCGGAACTGAAGTTGCCTTCTTCATCTTCATTTTGACCTATCTTAATTTTCTCTTTGACTCTGGCACCTTCTATCTGGCTGTCAAACTTCTGTTCAATCTGTTCATATTTTTTATTGAAATCTTCACTAAATTTCTCGATATCATTAAATACCTGCTTGAAACCTTCATCAGTTGACTTTTTTTTATCAAGATCTATGAAATAGCTGAACGATTTACGGGATGACGTTGATGATTCTTGTTTTTGTTCAACATAATCAGAAAATTGACGTTCTTCACTAACAGGACTCACTGGAAGACTTTTATGCAATTTATACTTGGTCAAAGTCTTGTCCAGTTGCAGTTTTCTTGGACGAATAAGATCATTCAAACTCTTTTCAGGACTCTTGGGTAAATCGCTCAGTTTGGGACCTATAACGCTATCTTTAGTGTGAAAATCTACATTACGATCAGCAGCAGTAAAATTATGACTGATATTCAAAATATGAGAAAGCTGTGAAGTGTTTTTGGCGATGTCTTTCATGTAGCAACCGCACAGTTGCAGATCAGTTGATACTGAGTTACACTGTGGATTGGTCAAATTCATGTAACTATCTGTGATATTAGTATCATTAGTAATACCACTTGTATTCAAAGGGATTTGGTTAGTTTTCGATTCACAGAAGCAGCTGTTAATGTATGAACTGGAAGTATTATCACATGAGCTATTACCTTGTTTTTTTGACCATCTGTCACGCTCTGGTATGTGCGAAAGATCATGAATTGACTGGCTATATTTCAAAGGACTTGAATGGCCCACCTGAAAATAGCATATTTTAATACAAAATATATTTGTAACTCTAGCATCATTATTTTCATCAAAACATTGTAAATAATGGATTATGTAGATTTGTCACAATGGAACATACACTTTCTAATTTTTTTCTAGTTTCAGCTACTCTCTTGTTCAGTTCTTGTCTTTTTCTTATGGCGTCAGGATCATTTTTTGTTTGTTTAACTGCTTTGATGGCTTCCTGATTTCTTTCAACAGATTGTGTCAAAAATTTGGATGATATTGAGGACTTATTTGCTAAAAAATGCAATAAAGTTAAAGTTGGAATCGACAATACTATCCAAATAAACTTACTTGGCGTTTGTACTTCATTCTCCATACCAGACATACTTTCAAATGTTGACTGAAGATACCTTTCGCGACTTACAAGTTGGTCTAAGGATTCTGAACTCAAAGAAAATAGAGACATGGGATTTCTGTCTGTATTTTCCCCACTAGGTGTGGAAGCCTGCGAACAATTTTTGAAATTAATTAGAGTTTTGTATTCTTCAGAAGAATATTTTAAAGAAGTTGACATGAAATTGAATACTTCTATGGTTCTTCACTCAACTCGAAAATTTGCTTCTGTGGGTATACTTTTTTTCCAAAAAACAATCTACTGTAATCAACATTTTTTGTTGAAGATTTGTTGAATGTTTTGGTGGCAATTCTAGCTGGTTTGAGTTTCATAAATGTAATTAACTTTCTAGGATTCAACGAATATTCTTTGCAAAAAAAAAACAGAACACTTCATAAATAAATCGAAAGGAATATATTTTTCGGAGAGTTTGGTTTTTTGGAAGAAAGATTTTTGGCTTTCACTTCTTCATTTTTATACAAAAATTTATGGAAAACTTCTACGAGATACAATTTCACTTACATGGAACATTATCATCGGTGGACTTCAAAGTTTCTGAATAAGACTCCTTGTCTTATTACTTCATCAGCACTGTTATGGATTCATAACATTACGACTTCATGACACGAATGTGATGAATCTACTCATGTCACGATGACAGTGCGTAAAGACATTCATACAAGAACGCTGATTTTACTCTCTTGGGCGAAAAAACTGAAATACGTACTGGTGCAAGTGATTTATATAACATCTTCTTTTTCACAAGTAGAGGCGACAATAAATTATTGAAGATTAAATTTTTATCATATGTAAAAAAGAGTGAAATATTGAGGAATGCTTACATTAAAAAAAAAAGGATATTTTCATTTCTAACGATTTGAGTCAGGAAGATTAAGTCAAGAACGTGTTCCAAAAGTATTAGATAAAATTTGGAATTCGAGTGCCGAGGAAGGAAAAAAGTAACGATTCACCACCTACACCTCAAGAAAAGCTCCCGAAACGTACACTCAGGGATAATCGTTCACGTGTCAAGTTCACTGGGAAACAATGACTCGGTTTTATTGCGAGTATCAATTGTCTCTGGTCTGGATTCTTGGCTATACTGGCCTGATAGGCAATGAGGCTACTGAATCTCTTGCAAAAGAAGGTGCTGCAAGCAGCTTCATTGGACCAGAACCTATCACTGGTATCGTTTTAGGTTTTGTCAAACAAACATTGAACACCTGGATGGCAAAAAGATTTATGGACTTCTGGCAAAATCTTCCAGGATTGGCTCACTCCATGGCGTTCATTCACCCTTCGAAGCTTGAAATAAAACGGTTGTTGGACTACAGTAGGGATGAACTTTGATGTCTAACAGGCCTTTCTACAGGTTGCTATCGTCTGGATCATCATATGCAGAGACTCGCACTGTCGAAAGACAGTGTGTGTCGCTTCTGTTTGGAAAATGATGAAACACCAGAGCACATACTTTGTGCCTACCCCCCCTTCCCGCTGCGGACCAAATCAGGTTTTCAGAGTTCGGTAGAGCCGCACTCTTACCATCTGACCTGAAAGATCCCTCACAATATAAACTAAATCGGTTTCGTTAAGAAGCTAGGTTTATTTGGTCGAGTGTGAATAGGTGTGAGCCACAATAAACCCTTGCGGGTTATGGCGGAGGGTGGAATAGACCCACTCACTTTTGACCTGATCTAACCTAACCTAAGACAAATCTTCTCATGTCATAAGGACAGTGCGTAAAGACGTTCAAACGCTTACTATATTTTATTTGAACATGAATGATTTAAAGGCTCTGATCTACACCCAATTCCACGCACCATTGTATAAAGATATAGAAGTGAAAGCCATAAAGCTTTTTTTCTAAAAACTTCACTAGTGTCATTATGAATAAAATTCCAAAGTTTGCCACATGAATCAATTGAACTCAGTACAGCTGTTGTAGGAAGTGCTCTTTTTTGTTAAATCAAAGATCAAGAAGCTTCTAGTACACTATGTCATATTTTACAAGCATCCGAAGTATAGATGCTTGAATTCACCTTTATAACATTGTTGGATAACATAAAAAAACATAATATGGCAGACCCCTCGTAAATAATGTCACAAACAAATGGTCTATGTTATGGTATCAAAAGTTATTTTCTTACTAAACTTCACTATTTACGACAACAGTAAAACTAACTGTTACCTCATCATCGTCATCGTCTGAATCATTACTACCACAGGTAGATGTGGGTGCAATCACAATCTGTGGAGCTTTTTTCTTACGCTGGGATTTTCTTAGTTCATCTGCATCTATGTTCGTCACAGTGAATTCCCCACCGCTGAAATTCATAATACACGTGGAAGGAAATGGAGATACAAATTTTAAGATGTATTTAGAAAATCGACCTAACCAAACAATTGTACAATAAATTATAGTGAATTACTTTCATCAATTACGAGATTTTTGGGTTCAAAACTATTTCCAGCTTCACAGTACCAAAATCTAAGATATCCAATAGCTTTTGAACAGAAGAAAACATTTGTTGAAGATGTATGTACATAAATTAACCCATCAAGTTATTACCCATTCCCTAAAACTGAAAATTTCGAAACTCACCTTTGTGATCCTGTTTGAGTAGGGTAATATATTGGTCGATGCCTATAATCATTATCAGAATCTATATCGCCATCATGTGCGGTAGATTCTGCGTCACCTATAGCGCTATCATCAGTCATTACTCCTCTCCTAGTTTCCACTCTTGTAGTCAGCTTTGATACTGATACAATTTCCCGTCGAGACTCTGAATAGTTTTTGATCTCAGTTCCACTATCCAATGAGCTATCTTTTGAGCCACCATCAGAGTCAAATCGGCGATCTGAAAAATGAACGAGTGACTGTTAAGCCAGCTTGACTTTCAAATTTGTCATCCTTTTACCTGTTGGAGGAAAAGGATATGAGCTGTTGGAATAGAATGATTTGACACCCATTGCATTTTCAGCTCTTTGAGCCCATCTGCCTTTTGGAATTGCCACACCTTTGTTCAGACTAGATGGCTGACTAGTATCTTCAGTGAGTTGCTTCTTCGCCCACTGCGGAAGCTGGCCTATACTGAATCTGAAATATCAACAATAGTTATGTACAACTATATATTCTGTTGATTTCCCTGATATAAACAGATTTGTTTCTTGGGACGAATGAAGGAATAATTCAAGTTATAATAATTTCAAAAAAAAAAAAGATACAATTTAAATTTCTTCACGCAAAAGCTTACCTATAATTAGTATCAATGGTGTTGACACCATCATAAAAATCAAAAGTGCTACTGTCGCTAAACATTTCCTGTTCCAGTTGCTTGCCCTGTCTCATTGCCTGTTGACTGAGCCTGGCGTGCATTGTGACTACCATGTCATGAGGAACTCTCCATACAAAAATACATCCATCTCCGCTCGCTGAGATCAATCGGCGACAGTCGTTTGTGAATCTCAATCCGGTGGCCAACTCAGAATGACCACACATTGTTGCCATACACTCACCCGAGTAATAATCGTACACTGAGAGAGACTTGTCTGTACAAGAGGTTGCTAAGTAAATTCCGGATCTGTCTAAAACAACCTGAAATGACATTTCAAATTAAATTTGAATCAAAAATGTATTTTTGGCTGTACTAACTTGATATCGTTTTTTTTCTATTTCATAGGAAAGAAAGGTTTTGGCATTCTCTCTTTAAAATATACCCCTTTCAATTTAAATGATATGATAAAATAGATAAGTTTATTTAGATATTTCATCTGTATCTTCTATACTATTATAAATGTGAAAGTTTATGAGGATGTATGTATGACACTTTACATAAATACAGCTTATACATCGAATAACGTATAGCCTACAATTTACAAAGGTTTTGTGTAATTTTGGTCATAATATAAAGATAAGTAGTAAGTAAGCCGGAAAAATTCTTGCTCCCTAAGAGATATCTTGGCGTGAACTTCCTATAATACCGTTGGAGTTACATGCAGGTAATGTACCGTAACGTAGAATCTTGAAATATGCAGGTAGGTTCTTTGTATAGCGTAAATAATGATAAAGAAAGACAATAAGGAATTTTCACCCCAAGGGGAAAAATAGGGGTTCAAAGATTGTATTGAATTTTGTCAGTTTTGAAGTTGCAAACCTGAAGTTTAGAGTTAATAAAAAAATATTGTAACTATTTGTACACAGTATAATTGCTATAAGAACCAGTAGGATCACTTCCATGAAAATGTTGGTCAAGATTTCATTTTTTGCATTTTGGGGCGTGACCTGCTCCTGGGATCAACATTTCAAGCGGCGCAGTAGATCGACAGTGAATTGACAGATATTATGCAGAGTTGCCGGCGCATCGCCAAATATGTGATTTCTACAATTTACTTTCTTTTACAAAATTTTCAGTGGATAATTTCACGCACCCATAATATCTGACCAACGATAACTCTCATAACATCAATTGATACTTCAGATATATCATGTATAATCATCCATATAGGTATTTTAACAAAAATTTTCGGTGTATTGATATATCACAGGCTTTTTATGCAATTGATAAACTTAAAAAATTTCGATTAGCACCAAAATTAACAGATCACCACATATATCCCAATAATTTTCAAAAAATGAAAGTAAAACTGGCCTCACAAGTTTTTAGTGCGACAGTGGCTGCTGCATTGAATACATATATGTCATTCGGCCAATTGCCCGCTACGGCTGTCGCTACAATTGAATTTATTGAAAAAATGGACAACTTATTTGACATACTGAACTCCTCAAAATTTTCTGGATGCAAACTCTCGAATAGACCATTCATGGGTACTGAATCCCAAAAACTGTTTTTGAAAATGATGCTTGTGTTTTTCAAAAATTTAACTGTAAAAGACACAAAAGGGAAAAATGTTACTAATAAAATGAACTTTATTGATGGTTGGACGCTGACAATATCTGCGCTGACAATATCTTGGGTCTTTGGGATGTATTGAAGGCTAAAGGTGTCCATAAAATTCTCACAAGACGCCTGAATCAAGACTGTTTGGAAAACTTCTTTGGAAAGGTACGTCAACAAAATGGAAATTGTAGGAATCCCACACCCATTCAGTTTCAAAGAACATTTGGAAAAATGTTTTTATTGAATTACTTTGATAGTTCCGAAGGTTCTAATTGTTTGGAAGAATTTGATGGTATTCTAGGAACAATTACTCCAGAACTTGTTCAGGACAGCTTTTTATTGTTACCACAACCAGAAAAGTTTATGCCTCTAAAAGTCTATACCACTGATTATAAACAGTTGAATATTACAGAAAAGAATGCTATTATGTATATTGGTGGCTACTTGTTAAAAAAGTGTTTCGAAAAGCATTCTTGCCATGTATGTAGAGAATATGCACAGGGGCAGAAAGAATTGACAGACGTTACAATATATGCCCATTTTAGAGCATATCAGAATGCACAAAATGATACATTCGGTAATTTACAAATGCCTGAATATAGTTTTGTTGTGTTTCTGAATGCACTGGAAAACATTTTTTGTAATCAGTTCACTGAAAAATCCACAGATAAAAATGTTGGAAATTCTATTAGAGCGTTGCTTTCTGAAATTACATTTCACAAACCATGTGAGCATTTTCCGTTAGACTATCTCATATCATTATTTGTAAGAGTGAGAATATTTTATAGCCTGAAATTCATAAATAGAGATTTGAGAAGCACCAAAACAAGAAAACCTTGTAGTAAGCTACTGATTGTCAATCACTGGTAGATGCTATAAAGTATTCCCAAATTATTATTTTCATTTTTAAATGTATCCATTCAATTATCTAAATGTTCCTGTAATAACAATGAAATAATATTTTCATCATCGTCATACTTATTCTAATTTACTACCGTAGGTTTGGCCGTTGTTTGAATGACTTCACTGACTCGACACCTTTTATAGTGGGGGAGACTCTCACAGTTCAAATTCAAACCTGCCACACAAATTTGTTACTTACGTAGAAGCAGTGACAGTAAGTGAGAGCGGTAACAAATATTAATTTATTTTATTTATTATGATATGTGGATATTTCATACTTGCTAAAAATACATATGTAACTGATTTGATAAAAACCCGAATTTAAAATAAAAAATGCTTTATTGAATAAGATTTAAGGTTGTTAGACATTCATCGTTTTTCCCATTTTCTCTTCAAATGTCACTTCTATTCTATCACCTTTTTTTGGAATTGACTTAATAAAAATCGTATCCGAGTTTATGTGGAGCAGTATATAAAAGATTCATGTGTCGAGCAGTGTATATACACTGAACACGACTCCGCCAGTTGCGCGGGGGATCCAGCGCAGTAAAAACTTCATACCATCAACATCAAAGTGCCGACATCGAAGTGATCCTACTGGTTCTAATATAGCTATATACTGTGTTGAGACTATGTATAAATATAGAATATAAATTTGTAATGAAATATTGGTAGTTCCTATCAAAATAACGAAGATCGAACTTTCGGTATAACTAGAAGAAAAATAACTAGAAGTGATAGGTGAAAGTGGAACCTCTGGTATCAAACGAAAATACTGTTTCTTTATGCACGTTTCATTTACCAAGTTAGCATCATCAGTAGATGACCTAGAAATCTCATTTGTTTTTGGTTTTGTTTCACAATTAAAAATAATAATTTTGTGTGCGATGAGAGAATGCATTGATTTTTTCATTGCAGAAAAATATCAGTAATAATTCCTACCTTTATCAGTGTTCCATCATCTCCGGTACTACCTTTGAAGCTCTTTGTGTGTTTCCCTGTATTAACACTATAAATCCTAACGTTCCGATCCTGGCAAGCTGTAAGAACGTGTTTCTGACCTGTATCTACTTCCATGTCGTATAATGTCGTTTTTCCGGTGGCATTGTTGGCCCTTATGAATTGAGGCTTGTCATTCAGCTCTCCAAGAGTTCTGAATATCAGACTTTTATCGGCTCCGCAAGAAACCATTTGTGTGTTTCCTCCGTGATTCAAAAACCGAACAGCAGTTATGGAGGATGAATGGTCATCCAATGTTTGGAGAAATTCGTACCTTTCTTTCATGTCGAATACGTGAATGAGACGATCTCGACTGGCAGAAGCCATCAAATTGAGACTGGTATCTGAGTACTCCAAACAGAGAACTTCTGCATCATGAGCTTCGATTTTGATAAGTTCCTTCATGGTTGTGGAATCATGGATTCGAATATTTCCTTGAAAACAAAATCGATAAATGATATTACTTCGTAGGAAGTTATACATTTCTATGATATGATAAATATTATGTTTTGATTATTATATACATAATATGCCTGTTGATTTTCAACAAAAAATATTTTAGTTTATGTTTTCTCACGTTGCGGGCGCCTACATATCAACAAAATTTACAAAATCATCAGAAGATAGAAATATATTTTTTGGGAAAGTAGTTTCTATTGTTCCTTTTCTTATCTAAAAGAACAAATCTGTTTATATTTTATGACATCCAGAAGCTACTGAATCATTCTGTTCATTCATATAAAAAAACAAAGAAGTATATACGGAAAATGTTTTCATTCTTTCGTACACACCTAGATTGGGAGGTGAGTCTATAAGAAATATAAAGATTACTTGAAAAATACCCGGGAACATACACTGTGACATTTTTATAAAGGGATCGTTTGAAAAGAAAAATAAAGAACTGCTCCAATAAACAGGGATTGGCTCAGAATAATATCAGGGGCATCTACTCTCAATGCTGCAGGCATTTAATGCTAATGTGAGGCACTGGATCACAAGAGGCAAACAATTTATAGGCAATTCAAATTATATCCAGAAAAATGTGACAAACATGTAATTCAAGAAATGCTTTATTGTGAGATTTTTACTAAACATTCTTACAAAAACGCAACATGTACTTTGCTATAGAATAACACATCTCAGTGTTATAACAAACACGTGGGAAAAAAATGAAAAATATAGCAACATCAGTAGCATTAACAAAAAGACCAAACGATTGGCAAAGTGCCTCTATGGGACATCGAAATTATCATATATAATGAATTAGATCCAACAAAAAATTTTGTTTGATGAAACAGTTGGTCATTGGAGATGTTGATCCATACAACTTTATACCTTGATACCTACTATACCTTGTTGACCATACTGAGAAGAAAACTTTGTTCGTCAGGACAGGATAAAATAGTTATTAACAAAAATTTGATTTCAATTAAAAAAATAAGTAAAAAAAGTGTTTACCTGCTCGATCTCCAGAAGCTAAATGTTTACCATCCGGACTGACTCTGATACATCTAACCCCATTTCTTCCATCATAAGAAGTGTTTTCCTGTTTTTCCGTTGTCCCAGAAATATCCAAGTCTTTTATAAAGGATAAATCCTTATCTACATATACAACTTTCAACAATTCCTAAAAAACCAATCAACTTTGATATGAAACATTTTTCAAATAGATGTGGACTCACATTACTATATATATTTGACTGATACATTCCTTTGGAATTGTTTTCGTTGAGTTTGTCGAGTGTCCATACTCGAATGGTGTCATCTGAACTGCAAGTAAGAAAACTGCCGGGCGGTAAGGGGCTATTTGGAGGTGCCATTTCAACTCCCCAAATGCATGCGGAGTGATTCCTGACGTTTCGCTGGTGCGAGTGGCTAGCTTGTTCAGGGGTTTATACGTTGATGGGCTATCTTCCTTCATTCACCGGTCTGGAAATAATCTTTTTCTGATTTGTTTCAGACATTTTCAATAACATTATTTATGGACGCACTGTATAATTAGGTATTCAATTTTACTAGTATATGGTATTGGGTTTTTATTTTCAAATATCACAATTAACGGTTGCTTATTATCTAATAAATTAAAAACTTATTCCAATAAGTTTATTTCTTACATAAGATTATAACTGATTTATTTGTGATCTCTTAAAAACAAACAACTTTCGAATTCATTGTGCAGAAAACAATTTTTTAAAGAACCTCTACCAGTACTGGTCATATTATTGTGTTCTGAAGGTCGGGACAATGTACGTGAATAATACAACAAAATAGATTATGATCAATTAATCATTCAGTTTTTGCCAAGCAAAAGTTTCTGTTAGAGGCGAACACTCCATGGAAATTAATCAATTCTGCAGATAAATATGAAATTTGGTGATATATAATATTTTAGATTAAAACTTACCCTTTGTATGTTGAAGACGTCCCAAACATATATAGAGTGATCATTGTAAACGGAAGTTAGTTTATTATTAGTTTCATCAAAAGTTATGGCTACAGTATCAGGATATTTGGCATCGGGTGGTGGTGTAGCCATATGTCTGTAGAAGAAAAATGAAATCAGACTCATGAAGGTATTACATTCTTTTTAGCTTACTGTATGCTTGTTCCGAGACTAACATCTACACCCAAATAGTGATTTCTAGGAAGAGTTGTAACAAATCTAAGCGTTGCAGGATCAAAACACCTAATAATACCCTCGGCACATCCCACAAAAATATATTTCTCACCTACAGTAATACAGTTGGCACTTGAAGTCTATAAAAACGAATTTGTATCATTAGTAAATCTTCGAAATCCAATGATAAATTTACCCTTAATTCTACCCATTTATCTAAAAGTCTTCTATTATTGAATTCGCAGAGCAGTCCTGACCTAGTAATTACATATGTACTATCAGCGGAATCCGCTTTCCCACAAGCTACATCACAGAAATAGTTATTCCTTTGGTCACCCAATATGGCTGATCGACCCATGAGTGGTACTGTATCTTTGTACTGAAAAATAAATAAATAAAAGGTGCCATATTGAATAAAATTATTTGCTAGTAAAACTAGTTGCAGTATTTATTGATATCTGCATATTGATCCCTCAGTAACCCATTCAAAATAAGTATTCTCAACAACGTTTATACTATCTGTAAAAGATGAGAAGGGACAGTATTGGAAAATTAGAAATCGTAAGAGATACAAAGTTGGTTGTGTGATCTACAGAAGCGCAGAAGGGGGAATTTACAAGAGACAAATAATAAAATTATTTAGCCTTTCTGCGCTTCCGTATATGTTCTCTTCTTCTGTCCATAAAAATTAGTAAAATTGATGTTGCTTTCTTGGAGACGAAACATCTTGTACAACTTGAGAAGTGGCAAAAAGATTTTTATCACTTAAATAACGCCAGAAAAAATAAAACGAATTTGTTGAATTCCGATTCTTTTTGAATATTTCTGGAATCAAGTAATCAGGGTTTTCAAAATTTTGAAATATATATTACGGACTTTGTATCTCTCACGGTTTCCGATTTTCCCATGCTGGCCCTTCTTATCTTGGATAGGTAGTATATGCTGCAAACATTGAGTAAAAGCCAAATTATAAGTTAGTAACGTATTTAATTGCAATATGCAAGAAAATTAAATTCTACTTTTTTTCATTGAGAAAATTACAAGTTTCTATTCAACAGTACTGTTTTTTTACTTTGGAAATACGGTTAGCAATATAGCATTTTGCAGTGTGATGGTCCAAAATAAGGAGAAGATTAGAAACCTATTAATCTCTATCCGGATGAAATGAGCTTTTAACTTCAGACAACCAGCAACACCTGTTCTGGTTTGGATTGTAGAGAACGTTTTATTAAAGCAAACGACTTTCTGCTTCAAAAACTTATACCAATGACTTCACCACCGTGAGGTGTATGGCTAAACATATATATAAATTCTTTTGCAATATAATTTGAAAACTGACATTTTCTAGGAGAGAATATAATGGACTTACAATCAACAGAAAAAATATTTTGCTCTCTGGAATGGGTCAAGTAAATATTTCATTCATTTTTAAAAATATGACATAGCATATTTAACATGACGTTGTTGATTCAAAATGTGCTTTAATGCTCATTCAGCTCAGCGCTTTCCGCTTTTTACCTTGGACAGTATTATAAAATAAAGAGTTACCTTTGCATTTCCGTGTTCCAAGTACCAAAACTTGACATGTCTGTTACCAACAGTAACAAAATAGCTGCCATTTTCAGCAAAAGCTATCGATTTAACTTTCGTGCTGATCTTGTTACTAGCTACTTTGATATTGTTTTTCCAATCCCAGACGTTCACTATCATATCATGCTGAGTTCCTATGCTAACTACGTATTTGCCAGTGGGTGAGAAGGCCTGAAAGAAGCGCAAATTTGGAAACGTGAAAAACACAAAGCTAATGATGAAATTCTTACGACGCAGTTGATACCAAATTTGTGGACTAGAAATTCGGCGACTTGTTGTGGTTGCGGAGCTAAACCGGGGTGCCCAGATTGAGGATCTGACTGTAGATCCCATATCCTTACTGCTGGTTGATGCCCACATTCTCCTGAAATCAATAAATCATCGTTAATATTCAATGGGGTTTATGAATTTTCATCATAATCATAGTTAGAGTTCAAGTTATAAAATGAGTTGAAATTACCAACACGAAAACGTTATGAAAATGTTAATATGAGTAACGAATTTATTTTCCCAAGAAATATATACAGTGCATTTTTTTAATGTCTCCCCCCTTTTAATTTTTGAACGGGTCAACTCAAAAAATTTAAATTTGGAATAATGAAATTAATGCATGAATACTTCATTTTGAAGTGAAATTGACAGATTGAACTTTCCAGATGGCAATTGGGCGCCATCTGGGGAAAAAACTAAATGGAAGGGGGGCCTTGTGACACATCTTTTTGAAGCTCCTGACAAATGCTTCACAACCCTAAAATATAATGTCAATATCTTCAACTACTACAAAATGGCGTACTTTTAATAATTGCCAGAATACATTGACATTTAACTACACACTATGAGGTAATAAGCTTGAGGTCAGTTCAGAAGATGCTCGAAATGGTTGCCTTGAACTTCTTGACATATGAATAGCATATCCGATATTTCACGTCGAACATTTTCGAACACAGTAACGTCATAATCTCTACAGATATGTATTATTCTCTGTTGTATATCCAATATTGAAGCAGGTTCAGTACACCTTTTGCTTCAAATAGCCTCATAAAAAATTCCAAAGGTGTCAAATCTGGCGAGCAGGCTGGCCATTCTGTAGGACCTCGACGGCCAATCCAACGACCGAGAAAAGTAGTATCCAAATAGTTTCTTACTTGTCTGAAGTTAAACCGATGTATGATTCTCCGCACCCGCAGGGTATCCGGTGAATGCAATTCTTGGAATCGCAGTCTGCGTTTGGTGGCCTGGTTGTCGTGAGGCTGCTACTGATAGTGTTCCCAGATCTGAAGCAGGTCCTGATGTTTTACTTGGACCCAATCCGTCTTATCCTTTCCGATAATCCTCTGATGTAGGGAAGTACAAGTACTGGTTGTGGCGGCTTCTCTTCCTTGTGGAATTCTTGCTGTCTTCTAGCTAAGGCCTGTTCTACCATCACTTTGCAGTAACCATTCCGTTTTTTGATGATGCCTAGTTCCTTTTCGAGACCTTCCTTTGTATTACAGAGCCCAAAAGCACGGTCCAGTAGAGTCTTGATGATTCCTATCTTCGTCGATCGATTTTTTTTCAGGGTTATCAATTTATATTATATTAGACAATGGAAGTCCGAACTGATGAAATACACCACGAAACATTGTCAACCACCTTCAAAGAAACGTGAGGGTTGGTGTTACTCCAATAACGTCAATTTTGTCTGTGAACATTGCCGTTTAAAAAAAAAATGTAAATTCGTCACGAAACAAATATTGTGAAGCTAGGTGGGATGCCTTGTAATGGTTTTCGTCATGATTTCGCAGAATTCTGTTCTTCGATCAGGGTCACCTTCGTTTTGGTGTACCATTTTAATTTTGTGTGGATGATACCTATTCCTCTTCAAAAGTCTCCACACAGTAGAAGGAGACACCTCACAAACATTCGCGACGGAATAAGTAGACTGTTCAGAATTTACTACCATCTCACCAATTATTTGCACTTGCAGTTCTTCCGGAATGGACGGATGACCTGGGGCCTTTTTGTTATGTACACTACCGGTAGTTGTGAATTTGGATATAAGTTCCTTCAAATATTTCCTACAGATAGGACGATTCGGAAAACGTTCATTTAAAATCCTTTCGGTCTCGTGAAAGTTACGCGTCGCACCGTAAATAAAAATCGCTTCAATTTTTTCTTCCAATGGACGAGAATTGACCATTTTAGAGATTGTTGACGTGGTACCTTCCTACTAGTAAAAACGAAAACTAAATGAGAATATTCTATTTGAACAATGATGGTCATTGTTGGAATTGTCATATGGCAGATAAAAAGGAATATTTCTAGAAATATCGATATTAATGTGTTTGTCTTCAGGAAATTAAATGTTCCGTCATTTTGTAGTAGGTGAAGATATTTACTTCATATTCTAGGGTTGTGAAGTATTCGTCAGTAGCTTCAAAATGATGTGTCACAAGACCCTCCTTTCCATGGCGCCCAGTCGCCATCTTGAAAGTTTCATCTGTCAATTTCACTTCAAAATGAAGTATTCATGCATCAATTTCATTATCCCAAATTTCAATGTTTTGAGTTGACCCCTTCAAAAAATAAAAGGGAGGGACATTAAAAAAATGCACTATATGTTCATGGCAAGGAAAAATTAATTCGAAACTATGAAAAAAAAGATGATTCAGAACTGAATTCTGATACATTTTTATACTTTGAAAATCTCCAAAAATGTCACTAAATTGGAAGCGCAATGTAATAAAATTTACTTGAAATGTCAGCTGATTGTTTCCTTGCATTCGCTATTACGCAGATGCAAAATTGCATGATGTTCAAAGAAAATTTCGTAAACGTAAAGCAGCCTTTTGATGCCCTTGAATATGTGGTGGAATTTGCTGATACTTGATGGAAATCCATGTATTCAAGTAACATTTTTTATTGTGGGATGTTTGAAGAAGCCATTTTATAGTGAAACAGGTGAAATATATATTGAAATGCGTTGAAATATTTGAAAGTATAAACTTTTATGAATATATTCTTACTGAAACAAAAAAAGTAAACATCGATATGTTTAACAGGTTTTAATAACTTTGGTATATTTGGTACATATACAGGTGTTTACCTTTTTCTGTCAAAAACTAAGATTAGAAAACCCCAATTATCCAAAAATGTTGCAATAATACAATAGGAAAATTGTGGATTACATCCAAAACTCTGTGGACTAGGAAAAGTATTTAAGGACTATTCATATATTTCCTTAAATTTTACTACTTAAATAGGTTTTAGACCAGCTTCACGAAATCTGAAATATCATTAACTATTTAAATGTGCTTTTTTGAAAAGCACATTTAAAGTTTGGTGGAAAATCAGAAATTGACGGAACGTGCTGAAACATTATACGAAGAATAAATAAATATTAAAGATTCGAGAAAACAAAAATTGAAATTTTCAACACTGAAATAATTGATTGAACTAGTAACTAATATATCATATAAAAGTATTAGAAGGCAAACTTGGAAAGAAAACGAATCAATTGAACCGGAATGATAACTTAAACTAATCTAAGTTGAACTATTCATTATTAAAATTGTTTAACTTGAGAAAAGCTTAGTTATTAATGAAATCTTTTATTGGTTATACATATATTACAGCTACCATAAGCCAATTGTTACTTTTGTAGTATTAATGATACTAATAATGTAAATACACAAAATTAGTATCACCATTTTTAAGCACGTTTCACATAATAAAAGAATTATACGTGCTTGCAGGCTAGATCTAACGCACACTAAACACTGAGCGTCTGTCCGACGAGAGAGAACGAGCCTGCCTCCACGGAAAGTGAAAAATATGTGAAAACTCTCCTCTCCACATACCATTTATCTGTACCAAATCTCGTTTTGATACACCTAATAGTCTAGAAGTTATGACTTGTCTAATAGATTCGTTGACACCCGGTATATTCAAGGTTATAATAGTTTTGCTTGAGTAGTAGAATATTTACAAGTTTATATTAGTGAGTACTACCGATAAAAGGAAGGAATTATTTCTGATCAGAACACTAGACGATAAAATGTAAAGTCCATACCTGTGACAATATATCGCCCACATGATGAGAAAGCCAGTGACGTTACAGTTTTTCTGCAGGTATTGATAATGTGGCTTTGCTGTTCAGTTCTGGTGTTGAAGAGAACTACTGTACACCTAGAATGAGAAATGAATTTAAAGTTAATTTGTATACATGTATATCCTAAGATTGGAAGTGGTATTTAAAATATAGACAGAAAGAGTTCAGGGGTCGAAAAAATTTCATGTTTCAACGACTTATTCACGGCATTAAGAATGTAAAAAAGTCAGTAAACCATAATTTCCATAGGATGTGACTAATGAACATCAGTATTTTTCATAGTTTTTCAGTTATTCAAAATTCTAGCATCATCAGTTATCTTTATTTGCAACGTCCTCCATATTGAGAATTTTATTGAAAGGCTCACTTACTATATCTCTTAGTTATTCAAGAGCAGGGTTTCTCAAAGTGGCTTACGCGTACCACTGGGGGTACGCCATTGAGTCATAAGGGGTATGCGATTTAGTTTACGTAATGGAGGCGGCTAAGCTGTCTGGTAAAACCCGGGTTCTTTACGCGGAAAATGTCCCAAAAATAAATCTTTGTCAATCACTTCACAACGTCGAACCCTATTGGGTCTACTTCAGATGAAAGTTCAATTTCAAACAATAATTTTGCGAAAACGAGCGAATCACAAAAACACGTTTCATCAGCAAAACAAAAAAATATGGCAAAAACTATTTGAAAATTGGATTTATGTGCAAAGAAGAATCTCAATACCCAGAGCCTCAGTGGGTGATTTGTTCAGAAGTTCTCGGAAATAGCGCGATGAAATTATGAAATTAAACGTGACAGTGGGCCTTTTATTCCCCGAAGGTCTAGGTGGCTAGGCTAGAATTTTCTAAAAACCGAATAATACCCAATACTTTGCCAGTAAAACATCGCTAACTGAATGTACGCGAAATTTGATAGTTCACCTTATTTTTTGAACAGACCTAGTATCTCTCCCCGAAACAGTCTTCAAATACGGTTTGATCTCTGATAGAGTATTGGTACATGAGATGTGCCTTCCTCTATTAGGGCTTCGTTCACGAAATGGAGCTGTTATTAGTTAATAATTTTTCTCTTAGACGAAGGCTTCATACATGCAGTTAAGCCGCGATGAAATTAATTCAAGTCCCAGGCATTTTACTCTTTGGATCGGATCTTTCCTGAACCGATGAGAGGTGATCCCTCGAAACCGGTCTGTAGATGATCTACTCGAATAATTTCAGCACGGCCCTGCTACTAGATGAACGAGACACATCTAACCTTTGTGAGGTATCTTACATAAATGTCTGTCGGATATAATTTAATATCCAGCGTGGCATTAGCCAGGGAAGTAGTTGTTTTCTGGTAGGCATTTACCAGAATCTACGGTGTAGGTAGTTGGGAGATATGTACATTTACGAGATTCTATTTCGAAATATTTATTTTCTAACCTTATTTAATTGAATTAAATCCAATCTAACTATTGAACTAATGTTCAGGAAAATGTAATATACCTAACTGTGTTTCTTAATTTCTTTGGCAATTGGTGTTACACGGTAAACTTATATCATGTTTTTTCACCACGTGATTTCGACAGAAAACCTAATTAGTTTTTTTTAAATCCCCCTACACATCATCAATGTACATTAGTGCTAATATGTATAAAAATATTCGCAGAGATATATATTCATAACGGCTCGAATATGAATACAGTAAAACCGTAAAATATGCAATTTCTTTTCACCATAAAATTGCTATTAACATTTAAATAGGTAGTTCTGATTTCCCGATGAAAAAATTGGTTCATTATATTGTTCATCCATGAACTTTTACTTTTTGATTTATGACTAGCCGCTTGGATATAACTGAAATCTTTCATGCTAAAAAGCAATTATTTTTATTAAAATCAAAGAAACCATGAACACTCAATGTATCTGACACGAACATGGTGTTATTACTATACAAAGTTATCTATATTGGAGCCCGAAAACAAGAATGAATCTGAGATGAAAATTCATATATTTTCTTAGATGCCAACGGCGTTCACTGCTATTGCGAAAACATCGTGTTCTGGGTAAGTTATGTTATTAACTCTTCAAACCACCTGGAAAATATCATGGACATTCGACGTTTTTAGTAGTACAAACATATTGAATCATTTATTAATATTTATTTATCTTGGAGTGAAATATCTAGCATTGCGAATAATGCAGTGGAGTAAGTAGGATGTCAATTTAAAACATGAAGTATAATCAATGAGTGGATGTGATAATCATCAACCTTGTTCTATCACATTTTTTCACTTGTTTTGTCTTTACAAGTTTTCTTATTGCTGAATATTCAAATATTACTTCCTGATCGAGTAAAGATATGTTATCATGTACTTTAATTAATAAGTTTCACTTTTGTACCAACAGAGTGAGACAAATGCCTTTGTTATAATTTTATTCATGATACGGAACCAACTTCCTTAGATTTCGGTATGTATTTTGGCATTCAATATGTGCACAATTTGCAAATTACTAGAAAACCAAAAAATATATATTTGAATGAATAATATATCGATTAGCGATTATATGTTTGGAATTTCACGAAGTTTGTGAAAAAATATTGTTTTTGCTTTATACTTCTCCCATGTGAATATTAGGTGTACAAACTGGAAAATAAAAGTTGTAGCTCAGCATATTTATGGAAAAGTAGTTATTTCAAATAGTATTTTTCCAAATCGCATATGAAAGTAATTTATGTAGTTTGTCTATTCATTTTATTCAAACCTTTTCATTTATGATGTTTTTGTCACTAGTTTCTTGCAATAAGTAAATCTACAGAGATATTTCTCTTGCAAATTATAAATAACTCCTGCAATAATTTGAGTAATTCTATATGTACATAAACCTTTCAATCCTTTTCCACGCATCATAAACGATATTTCTGTTTTTATGATCACTGTGCCATGCATTCCATATAATCGATTTACCAACATAGAAATCCAAAAAATCCATTACATTCTCATTAATCTACTCCATTAAAAAAAAAGAACTAATTAACCACAAATACACAAATAGAATACGAAGTTTGCACGAATGTGTGTATCGACAGGAATCGCAAATATTTGTCTCCTTTGACTCGTCCTAATATATCACCATACGATGGTAAAACACCTTCAGAAAAAGAATGATTCAGGGACTTCAATCTGAGATTGAAAGCATGAAATATAATTTTAAGACTTAAAGTTAAAAATTATAATTTCAATTCATTCGATTTAGAATGATCTCTAGCAACATTTTGAAAACAAATTAGTAAAAAAACAGGGATATCACCAATATTTATAATTTTAATTTATAGGCGAAAATAGCGCTAAAAGCAGGCGATGTGTGCTTTCCGCACGCGCTGACCGATATGGACCCTTGAACAATAAAAATTATTTTAACCCATT